GTAGTCTTTTCCACAGTCAGTGTGACTCTCAACTAGGTGAAAATGGAGACCACAAATATTCGATGATGTTGTACGTCAGTGGTTCAGTTATAGACTACTCGCCAATCACACCTCACGTGGTCCGGGGTTCGACCCCCAGTCTGATTACTTCTGTGGAACTAGTTGCATTTGGTGCATAATTAGACAGGTTCATCATCGGATTACTGGACATCATCCTGCATAGTTAACCAAGGGACAGACAGGATCCATTCGTAGCTCTCTGTTAGCACACCTTGTAGATGCTGAGCATAAAGTTGAAATACTTACTGGATTTAAAGTTGTTCATCATATTCCGACTAATATTAATTTTGCTTAACGACTTCCTCTTCTACATACAACTGAGGCCATCGGAATCCAGGTGAAACAGCCAGGAAGACCTGTGTGTTCAGAAGAAATCCCCACAGACACTTCAATACCTTGACTGTCATTAAATGAACGTGGAAAAAGAGGACAAGTCGCCAACGTCCTGATTAATTTAATTTATTCTCACTATTTCATCTTTAACTTCGTATTGCAAAATCAATTCGAACACGCACCATCTACTCCTTATTTACTCCCATCATTTTTTCAAAACTATGCACTACGCAATCTGCTTCATTGATTTTTGAAATTATCCCCACCCTTTAATTGTTGTATTAGTCTCTTTGGTTGATTATCACACCCTTTCGACATGCTGATATTGACTAGTCACGGTTAGGTGAATATTTCTTCACTCAATCCTTTTCTCTTCTAAATTTTCCATATTTCAAGTATAGACGTTGTGTCATTCCGATCGGACTCCGGTTTTAGTGTTGACTGGATGGACAGAGATCCGGATTTACCACTCTCATCACCCACTTATGCCTAACTATACCTCTGAGTACACGGAGAATTCCTATTGATCTTCTATGCTTTCTAGTATACTCAGATTAAACAGTCTTATTTTGTGATGATTACATACAGGTGAATGCATTGCAATGGTCGAGATTATTTCGGAGATTATTGAACCTAGTAGGGTGAGTCATTCTAGGTCTAGCTAAATTTCTATGGCCCGATAATCTAATTGACACTGATCTACCAGTTTCACCTGTGTAATAAATAACTCCTCACAATCATTACACGGTATTTGATTATATGATTTCTCAAGAGTTTGCTCTTAAAGATTTGATCTGCTTTTCAACTTTGATCACGGATTGATATCGGTTGGAGAAGCATTGAAAACCAACAGGAGGTGGTGGACAGTTGTCTCGTCCTCGTTTTCTGACTGATCGGAAGAACGAATCCACCTGCAGTGTTCGAACCCATGACACTTCCATAGACCGTTCAACCACTGGGACTCGTCTACTCAATGGCCACCTCATGAATTCTCACTTTTACCACTACATGGTTTCAGAGTGACTGTCACCAGCCAATGTCATCGGTGGCGAGTATTTGTCCTCACTCCGACAGGGTGAACACCACTGGTTACGACTTTTCACTAGAACTCAATACAGGCAACTTCGTCCTACTGCAACTAGTCACTAGCGAGCATCAGATTAATTTTCGGGAGTTGATTTGTAGGGACTCGATCTGTCTCTTAATTGGATCCACCAGTCAGTTGAGTCGACAAAGTTTGTCTGTGAGTGACTTGTCTGCTTGATTTCAGTGAAACCCAAACTAATTCCAGACTCATTGAGATAATTATGAAAAATAAATTGTGCTCGAAATGTCATCCACTCATCTGTAGTGTCGAGCTGTTGTTCTGCCACAGTGACCAAATTCTACTATTACATTTATACTTTCATATTCTTAAGATATATTTTCGTCATTAGCGATTAGTAAGAAGAGCTGCTTTTGTTCATTTGACCAACATAAACTCCAGTTAGTCTGTTGCATAATATTCAGATTATGGAATATCTGGCGATTCGAGTTACTGTCAGTTGTTAGATTTTCGTCAGCGACTTACATCAATCAGAGAGATAATCGAAAGTCGATAGGGAACACTCGAGAACTGTCTCGTCGTGACCTTGGACGCCTGAGAAGTGTGCACCCAGGACCTTCAGATTACGAGACCAAGCTGGTCTACCATTCAGGCACTGAGGTTGGGACTCAATGATCCTGAAGCTTCCAGCCGTTTGATACCTGATGAGTTCATAGCCGCCTACTGTTCAAGACTACCCAAATGGGAGGATTCAGCTGTCCACTGCCCTCTGTCAATTGTTAATGATCTCTCTAACTGACATTACTTCCTGACAAAAAACCAACGACTGTTATGTGTCATTTCTGAAGGAAGTTTGTTGTGTTGAAGGACTCGACTGTATTAACCATCTCCCTGATAATTAATAGTCTTAAAGTAGAAATCAATTCGAACAAATCAGGAGCCTAGAGAGCAGCATCAAAACCGGTATTATCTTGAAAGTATTCGAATCAAACCGCCTGTTCGACAATTTATGAAATCTACCTATTTATGACACTGAGCAGGTTACATTGTACTGAATGCTTCACACACCAACTGAATTTAAACTAGCAATCAATAGATGGACAAAACTACAGCTGACCCAAAGCTGAGTCGTACGCCGCACAGACACCAATTAGAGATTTTAAAGAGCGCGTTCCGAGTAAGTCAGCAAAATAATAATGATAATAATAAGGATAATGAAACGAAGTTTGAAAAAGTGGACAATACATCTGTGCATTATTCAGTGATTGCCAGTAGTCATTCAAATTGGAAAAGAGGAGAGCATCTGGTAGCCAAATTATTCGAAAAGTGGACAAACTATCCCATCGATACTAAATCATCATCTCCGTGTGTGAATGAAGAGTGAAATAGTGGGACTTCGCATACAGGCTAACAACATATCTATGTAATACACCTGGGAATGTAGTTTATATATGCATATTTTTAGTGTGAATGAATACAGGGAACTGTTAGTTGCCCACCGAAAATAGGGAAACGGATTTTTCTTACAAAAGAAACTCATGTGTGTCTACGTATATTTTGTGTCAACAGACAAACAACATGGGCCATATTTTTATTTCTTAAATGAGTGGTAACTGTAGATAACACTATTTATAGGGATCTCCTCATGTTGAATTTATCCAAGAAAATTTTTTTCTTTTTCCTTCACGTTCCCCAGTGGAACATAGAGCTTCAAGCTAGTGGCTTGAAGTTTCCTTAGCAGTGTTTATTTCACAGGATGGGGTTGCCAGCCAAGCCTCGTGCCCAACCTTTCCTCTTTACCAGCATTATATCTGGCTTAGCGAGGTAAAGGAGTGCGTCCAGTAGCCGGAGATCGAACCCCGTACCATGTGTGCATGTCGGTGAGCGTCCTAACCACTATGCCACCGATGCACCTATTCAAGAAAAAAGATCGAATAAAAGGGAATGAGTTAACAAATTTTCCCATGAATACACAGCATAATATGCGCCATAAACGACTTTCTATGCCTGTGGTTTAGTGGTAGAATATTCACTGCAGCCACGCGGAAGATCAGGATTTCGACTCCCTACTGGGGATGTGAGATTCCACACTTAATTTACTGACCGATAGCAAAGCAAGGAGAAGAGAGAGGTTCTGGAATCAGACAAGAAACTGCAATACCACCGCCAGTGAATCTTGAAAAGATACACGAAGACAAATGTCCCCCTTTGCATGAGAAAGTCTGTTTATATTTGTTTTCGAGTTCACAATACACGAATTCGGTAAAACCGATTTATCTTGCCCTGCAATTATTTGTGAACTGATAGATACTATTTCAGAAATATAGCAATGACAATCTCTTATTTACGCATGATATATATGTATATTCCTACAGTCATTCCCCCTGAGGTTTTCGATAGCGTTGATCATGAAGTGAATACTAAACTACTTCAACACCGCGGTGTACACTACCCAAAATCTTTTTCAACCTCATTAAACAGCACTATGACGATGAGATACATCCCTCTGTAGTCCTAGAAGACCAGACACTTGGTAATGCAATCTGTTATCGCTATGTAGCGAAAACATGTACACCTTTGCATAGATATTCGATGTTTCACTACTTCTGGTCTTCCTTCATATTGTGTTGCTTTTACTTCGCACATGTTTCAACGCAACGCTGAATTATTTCCTCCTCCGATGTAACTTTAGGTTCACGCTCATAAGTTGAATTTACATCTTAACCCCAAGAATTTGCACACTCTAAGTATCTTACAATGAAAAGAAAGTCTTCTAACCAATTTTATTTCGACGTAGTCGTTTAGATCAGAATATAGTTTCTTAAAGCTTTTACTAGGATCTAAATCTATATCATGTCCGTTGGTGGACTTGACATTCAGGTGTTTAGTGTTGAGCATACAGTATGATTGAGAAACGAGGAATCGATATCAAATTAGATCACATACAAAATAGTGTGATCAACTAAGTTTCCTCACCTACAGAGCGCTTAATATATATTATCCAACATATAAATATTCTGTTCTTACTTAAACGTTTATCTTATGATCCATTAGTCGTCTATCATATTATTGCAACTATAATTGACTTCTCTCAGCTATGTACCATCGCACTATGCATGATATAACGTGTGGTCTAGAAAATCTCTAGTCATCAGACTTAATAAATCATAATGACATCATCTTCATACTAGACTACTCTCCAAAAAATTATGAGCCTGTAGAGGTAGGTAGTTACAGTGCTCCGCGTTTGATATCTGAAGCTATTCTGTGATTTGGATCTAGTAGAACAAGAGAGTAACTGACGTGCAAGGATGAGATGACGGGCTGGAAACAACCACAGAAGAGATCCTGTGGCCTAGAGAAAACAAAATAGTGAGGCACAGCCAAAAGTTAAACACTCAGACAACAAACTATAGCCTATCATCATGCAACAGGCAAATTACTGGGCTGAGAATCTATTGGATGCATTTTGGCCTTCACATTTCCACCAATAGAAACATCACTTCATAATGTGACACGACCAGTCTAAAATCGGATTCGACAAAACTCCATGCGTGGGTGAGACGAATACGCGAAAGCATGCTTTTGTCTCTCTCTCTCTCTCTCAAGGTTATGCATAAAAGCTTGGCATTTAAAGCCTGACCACATTTGTCAGCATTGTTTTTCTCGGACGTTGTGGCCTCAGCTAACTAATTAACTAACTGTTTAGACGATGGCAGAAACTTGGGAAGGACACTGTAAAGCACACCTGGGTCAGCACAAATGCCTAAATAACTTGTGCATAACAGGGAAAGAAGGAAATACATATGGTACATCCAGCCCCGATTTCCAAGTAAGTTCGAGCTCCACATTTCCTTGATAGTATGAAGTTCTTTAAATCCCCATAAACTCATATATTTTATCACAGTAGTTGGAAGCGTCGTTCAAATATATTGATTGAGGCTCCATGTCTGTGTCATTTACTACTAAGTGTGTATACGTGTTTTTTGCCTTCTCAACTCGGCAGAGCGCGGATACCGCTGCATCTGGTAGTTTATGATGTGGTTGTGAGCAGTAAGGCACCTGCATGGATTTTGATGTTTCCTGCTATATTCTCTGAGGTGTTTAAACCCAATGTGGAGGCAAAAGAGACATATATCGGATCCCTGGGCATTCCTCGGAATTTTCAGCATCTGTGTCTACGTTATGACAAGGAGAATTACCAGCCATTAAGTGATCCCCGTATGATGTTTTGGTCGTTCCGAGTATCATACGTGTGGCTTATGTTTGAGAAGCGCATACAAATTATGGGTTTGCTGTGAGGAATATTATGCTTGAAAGGATGCAGTTTTTCTAGTTCTAACGTCACTGTAGATGTATCGGAAGTGATTGACTTCACTGGTGCATTTTCCCCCATAATTCCGAAGAGTATGCTGGTTCGTGAACCTGATCACATCAGTACGCTGGTCTGATCGCTTCGAAATGTCAGCTGTTGTGATTCACGGAAAAAGTTGAAACTGATATCATGATGGTGGTGCTTCTAAACTTACCCATCGAAATATGCTTTGGTAACTGTTTTGACGTGGAGACAATATTTATGCTATAGCCAGTAGAACTGCAATGATGAGTTTAGGAGAAGTAAGCGTGAAATGACTTTGGTGTGTATTTATCGGCCGAAGTTGTGGTGACTGTTAACAGTTGATTGTACGTGTTGCTGTGTAAGTTTATGGATTTCTGGAGGTGTTCATATAATTCCATAGGATGAGTATAGGGTAGTGACATCGGATTTGGGTAATCCGTCTAGTAATTGAAGCCAATGGTTCTGAATCAAGCAGATGCAGATGTCGAGTTAAGTTCTGAGTGTCGGGCTGGCAATTCTAGACTGGATTACACAAAGAATAGAATAGATATTTTGTAGGTGGTGCCGTGGTTGGTCTGGGACCGAATGTGACGGGGATTGCATGTAAATGCACTTGTGAATGTGCTGTTAGGACTTTGAACTAGCGTCTGCCGATGAGGCTAGTTTCTTCTGCGTAGTCTCGACTCTATAAACATGTTGAGTATTGCAGTGTGACAGAGACAGTCTTTGCAACGTTCGTACATTTTGTCACTAAGTATAATGATCGAATTAGTGCTTCCATGTGTTTGATGGAGCAGGCGCGTGAGGAATGTATTTCCGATTGGAAGCCAACTCCACTAGACAACTATCTACGCGTAATGATATAAGGTAGAAGATGGCCAGCCAGCCACCTAACAGCCTGCTTACGAAGAAATGTGCTTGAGGAATTGGATATTGGACAGGCAGTGGTAAGCCCACAAGTGGAGTCGGAAGTAAAGATATTGATAAGTGGATGTGATCGTAAGATTGTCATATGAGGAAACTAAAGTGATGCGGCCAACTGAGGAAGACACTGGTGGACGAATTGCAATGGTACGCTGCTGGGTCTCTAGTGATTTATTCTAAAAATAATACTAGCTGTCGGATAACAGGTTCTAGGTTCCTATGACTCACCTGTAGGAGAGGTAATGATTGGTGCATGACGAGTTCTCTAATGTTAACAACTCACTTGAATGAATTACCAGTCAGTTTGGAAGGTATGAAGTGTGCATAGGAGGAATTCATAACTGCCTTATGACATGGAATATGTTGAGAAGATGGTCTCACAGAAATGAACCTTCTGTGGAATAGAGTATTTGTTGTTTTGAATCGGTTGGGTATAGTCGAGCTACTGGTTTCGTGTAAAACATTTCGGGTGGTGTTACAGATCATGGTGTATGTAGTGGAATATGTGGAAGTTCAGGTCAGTCAGCTATTTCATGTGATAGTCTCGATTTGGTTTTTATTAAGTGGGATGGATGTTTCGTCGTCATGTGGCTCCTACGACTGTCATCTGTAGTTATTATTCCTAATTATGAGAGTGTGGACAGTGGTGTTTGAAATTTGGGTAATTCAAATGTAGTATCTGACTGAGTCTATTTACGACTTGGTTGGATTATGTAGTATGCATACTGTTTTGCCATCTCCCTGCTCATCAGGCTGCATTATTGTGGATGCAGCGACTTAGCTGGAGTTAGTCCTCCAGGAACCGGCGCATATGTATGTCAGATGAATTTGAGTGTTGTGTAAGAAAGCCGAATCTGGATACGAGTGATGTTTCGGGTTCACCTGTATTCTTGTTGCCAATGTGTTTTGTCAGTAGTTTTCTATGTGTATGGGAGTGGGTTTTTTGATTTTGTCGATTTAAATTAATTGAATGTTAGCCTACACTTTAAATTGTATTTTAAATCTTTGTGTTTAGGTGTCCGACAATATCACTCATTTACTTTATGTCTTTGTCAGGTACCCCCGGAACTTATTCAGAAACTGAGATCGGTTTTAGCAAATGGTTCCGATACTTCCTTCGACTTCCTGAATGAGAAATATATCATAATTCGACACGACGACTCCTGCCTGATCAGCAAGTGTGGCAAGAAGTCTATTCTATTTTACTGCACAGATACCAGTAAGTCACTTTAGTTGTATTTTATTTAAATGTGCTTTAAATGAAAGTTTAGGCTTAACTAGTGATTTCGAATGGTCTCCTCATTATCTTGGGCAACTTGTGCATGTAACGATGCATAGCTTGTGATCATATTCTAGTTGTCCAAGATCAGCAATATGATAAGTGTTCGTATGGGTCCGATATATCTGTATCAGTGTATTGTGCACCAACCAGCTAACAGTTATTTTCAATCGGAGATGACTTAGCATTACCTACCTACGTTTCTGATGCTCAATCTAGAAACAACCTCTTAAGTGAGATTAGGTGTTAGCATCGGATTCCATTGTAGCGTCTATAGTTGTTAGTCAATTGTGGTATTTGCAGTACATATCCGGTGACACTATGAACACAAGAGCTAGTTAGAATGCCAGTCGACTCAGGGAAATTGTGGTTTTGTGTGTAGTGTTCGCTATTCTCGTACACACTTGGAAATTGTTAATGCCTAGATTATTAATAACAGTAAGGGTGGTGTGAACCTCATTACGTACTTCTTTTCCATACTTAACTGCGTCGGTGTCCTGTAAATCCAATAAAGCCTTTTGAATAGGTTTGTATCAGAGAACATCACGATCTAGGATGCCCATGGCCAACCGGATTTTCGTTTCTCTTAGTGACCTTCGGTTTGTATTAGCGGTGACAGTGTTCCCGTTGTTCAGTTGTGAGTTAGGATTCAGTTAACGGGAATAGTGCTAGACTAGAAGTGACACTGAATGTGTGATGGTGAACCCATGTTGTAAAATTCTGTCCGAATTCAATAATTCTAGTTATTCAAAATAAAGGTGGCAAAGTGTGTCTGGGCTGAACAAGGTGTGTAACACTGTTCTATTGCTTCCCTGGCTAATTTCGAATGGTGTGTGCTATCCTTTACTGAAATAAAGTGTACGGGACATTACTGCTCTTTCTTGACAAAGTGGGCGTTAGCTACGTGAGGTAATCGCCCATTCACAAAGGACTGTACACAAAATGTCAGTAAGTAACCCATGTGTGTTTAATACTTCTCAAATAAGACATTCTTATTCAAAATGATTGGGTTATCTTGCGAGTGGTTTTGTTTTACACACTAGTCGTCGGATACTGATTACTGTTGGATTTGTGTTTTGAAACTGTTTGATTTCAGTGTGCTTGGTCGGACAGACGGTTGACGACGAGACGAATAAGTGTAATGCGGGGAATATCGCGATGGCTAATATAAGCGATTTCTATAAAAAGAAGGGTTTGTAATCAACTATTCTCGTATAATAATGTACTGCATCTTTTTATGTAATGTTGTATTTGATTGGTCAAATAACTATAAAATAATTCGCATGTAATAACGTTAGCCTTCTTCTTCTTCTTCTTCTTCACTCTTCCGTGTGAAACTTTCCACATTTTGTTGTTGATAGGCGGTTTCTTGTTCTTATTCTGCTTCTCTCGTTTAGTGCTACGAGATCACGAGGTCGAATAGCACACCTCTGTTCATGTATTTGTTTAGATTGTTATTTTTCATGTTGAGATGATGACATTGTTTTTTGCTAGAGAAATCTTATCGCCACGACACCTGCACCAACACCACCACCTGCCTAAGGGACTTCTTATTGTTGTGCTCCTGCAGAGATATATATGTATACTTCAGTATGCCTGTAAGGAAGACTTTTGTTTGTTGATTGATTTCTATGTTGTATCTGAGGCAGGAAGATACTCATAGTTATTTGAAGAGTTTTGTGAAAGTTTCTACTCATTATAATCTATTAGCTTGCTTGTACACATTGTTTGTTTAAAGGCATTATTATTATTACTATTATTATGGATTTTTAAAATGTACCAACGCTTAGCCTGAATAGAGGCGCACTGTATTTTGTTATAATTGGTATATTGATAAATTAATGCTTTATGATGAATGTTTGTTTTTGCTTTCACTGGAGTGGAGTTGGAGACACTTGTACTAGTTACCGTGTAGCTAGCATAGCTGTTTGTTCCTTAAACCATCATATACTGTGTTGTACTATCACTGAATTATGGTCTCTGTCACACGTTATTGAAAATGATGCAACTTATTGTGGTGGGTGGGTTGGATGAGGGTTTTGTGTACCAGTGAAATAAATTGTGTATTCCGAGTGTCAGTTCTTGGTGGTGGCACTACCACCTGGTTATTTGCACCGTAGCGTTTATGGGTTGACTTGACGTTGGTTTAGGTCGTTGAGTCACATGTATGTGCCGTGGAATGTTAAAGTACAATGACTTTTGAGGTTTGGGAATGGTGTTCATACTACCATGTGATCACTCTGTGTTAGTGTGGACTGTGATACATACTGCCAATGTACGTACTTCCAATTTGCGAATTATCTCCGGATTATCTCATTCTTTTTTACACTGCGTGTATTAGAGAACTCATAACTGTGTTACATGCGTCTATTTATTCGATTGAACGGCGATCGATTTCTGTCCCCCATATATGTTTGACGAAGATGAGTTAGGTGTCGTGATAATATGTGGGAAATATGCCGTTGAATTGACATTGAAGCCAACTGCTTTCGGGATTTGTCTTCGCTACGGAACTATGCTATTCTGTGTCTGTTTACACAATTGGTTCAATGTATTTCGTCGAAATAATAATGATAGTCCCGTGCTGTGATCTCAACTGCAGAGTGTCACAATTTGGTTGCTGAAGTGTATCTGTGGTAGTGGAGAGTTAACTCCTGCTTGAGAGCTTCCATCTTTATTCAATGTAGGATATACGTTGAGGTCATGGATTACTTCTTCAGTGAGTGAAAGTGACCGTAAGTGTTTGAGCTAGCTAGCTTTAGTGGCCACAGCCTCTCATTAATTCTGGCGGATAGCACGGAACTGACAGTCCAAATTGAGGGTAAATTGTGTTAGAATACGAGCGTTTATTAAGGTTAGATAGCCTCGTTGAATATCCAATCCCTGAAAGTCCTAGTGTCGTGAATGTTGGTTCATTGTGGCTTAGTTAGTACAATTTACTATTGGATTATTATTATTCCCTGTGGTTCAGAGTTGTTGGACATAGGGCCGCAGTCAGGAGTCACATCTCTACTTCATTTTGTCCTCTGCTATGCTGTTCAGCTGGCGCAGCGATTGGCTGTGAGCCTTCATCTCCTGCTCACATGGTTTCCTCCATATCACCCTCGGACCGAAGTCAAACTCTTCGTTTCTCACACAAGCGTTGTTCTGGCACTCGATAGTCTCATCAGCGTGTGTCCGATCCATCTGCACCTGCTCCATCTGTATATCTGTTGAGCACTAGGTTGTTGGCTGACTCGTTCTCAGACCATTTGATCTTCACCATTATAATGGTTCGAAGTTAGCTAGTGATAGAAATCTGCAGTAGTCTGTTGGGGAATGCTTTTCGTGACGAACGCTACAGGCTTTTGACCCATATAGAAGTGTTGAGTTGACTGACTTATTAACGGTTGTGTTGGAAATCCGAATATTGTCCTTTTCTGCTGATCGCAGCTTTTCAGTCTGATTTTGAGACTGATGAAGGCGTTCCGTGTCTTTGTGACCCTCGCCGGTTTCGACATCTTCGTCGATGACTCCGCCTATAGTTGGAAGGACGCTGCATACTAATTTCATTTGAGCAGTACTATAGGTAAGTTGAAAAACTCAGCATATTATGAGCTGGATTTCATGCTATTCATCCAAGGTGGATGAAGTAATAGTGTTATTGTACCGACCTAGTAATATGTATGAGAAAGGTCCTGTGTTTATGAGTGTATTTCGAATTCGTTAAAATGGAAGTAGATTTGTAGGAATTCTTATCAGCTATTGTAGTCCTTTAGTCACTTGGATACACGTGTTTACCAGACAACTAGGTGGTCTTATTAAGTCCATTTTTCATATGTGTAGGTGTATATGTTAATCCAACTGTGATAGTTTGCAGGTGATTGCTTTAAGAAGAATAGGGATAGGTCGAATGTGTTGGGAATAATGGCGATGGAGTTGACATGTGTGGAGAATAACGTTTAGTGGCATGACAGTTAAGGCAAGGAAGAAGAAGAGGAAGTCGAATGAGAAGAGACCATTTGGGTGTTCGAAGTTGATATGGAGGAGATAGTGTGAAGGAGAGATGAGAGGTTATGGTCAACCATATACCTAACCGAAAGGAACAGAATGAAACGGAGATATGGCCTGGCTAGGGTCTTATGTTCCACTGGGAACACAGGGGGAATAATAATGATAACTCTGACAACGTCTGTGTAGAAGAGAGAAAACCCTCTTGTTTCTGCTGCCTCCTTTTCAAACCTGGAGATCTGTGTTGGTGGGTGGTTGGGTGACGCGACATTGACTTCAGAATGAATACAACCATCAGTGATGTTCACCTGTTTGGTGAGCAAGGAGTACTGGGGATTAAGAGAAATAAGCGGCTGAACTTATACTCTAGCACGAAGTGTCAGTGTTCTACCCATTGAAGTATACACTGCTCTGTTGTAGGGAATCTTACCACTTTCCAGGTAGGTATCCGTTGTTTCTAGTGTTGCTCAACGTGTGGTATCCGTTTCTGTGATCGACAGCGAATACATCCCAAAGTCAATGTAATTATGTGTCAAAGTGGAAAACAAACTTAATTTATAGTTGTTTGAGAAGGTGGAATTGATTTTAATTGTCGTTGATTCAACTCCTCTGATATGAGTATTCACCACGATGTCTTCGTTTAGTATTGATGCAGTATTGATCTTATTCTCTCTCTGTGTCTCTCGTTATGTTGTAATTGCATGTAATGATCTATCCCACATCCATGTAAAACTGAGAAACGCAACAAAGCATTCAATGACACCCCATGTATGGAATTAATCAAGTTTGCTTAATTTGAACAATTTTTAACTTGAAATGCACATAAAGTTTGTTTATATATTTGGGTGTACTAATAGTTCACATGATTCTAAAGATATCTCTATGCCTGTGAGGAGTGTAGGACGATATTATTTATTTTTCGGTATACTGAATGAAGTTGAAGTAACAAAGTATGAAAGTATTTGCTTAGAGGTCACATGACTGAAGATATTTTAAATCGATGGATCGATCACTCACTCACTCACTAATTAGTAGTGTATATGATAATTTTGATATTGATTATTTCCACCATTAAGCATGAGAAGGATTGTTGGATTAACCGTCATGGTCTCTGTCTATCTGTCTGTTTTCGATGTAGAACTTTGCACATATGTGCGGCAGTTCAAGTCCCCACACTCCATGTAACACACAAACCAACAGAATAAACTAGAAGAAATGCATAATAGAGAGAGACAGTAAGTAGAGGTGTGAGACAAAGGAATAGTAGTAACGAAGAACAAAACAGTTTCATTGGAAATCAAAGTCACAAGGAGTGGATGCATCTGCGCCATTCAAACGATTTTGAGCCAACCATTGGCTTTTACCGTCCCGAGGACCCCAACCAAGAGGTCTACATCTTCCTATGTAACTTAAACTAACTGTTGTGGATTTCACTGACTGATGTCATGTTTTGGTTTGACCGCCACTAGCTCTTTTCCAGCCTGAAACTATGTCAGCTAACATTGCCCATTGTCGAGGAAGGCGATGACTAGGCTTACGTAACACATGTCCTAACCATCTCAGTCGATGTAATTTCACAGTCTCGTCGATTGATTTCCCTCCTTACCTAGCACTCAACCGAAGCCTAACCTCAATATTGCTCACCTTATTATACCACTTCATACGGGAGATAGAGCGCAGGCACCAATGATCAGAGACCGGCATAGTACGAACATATGCTATTTGATTGATAGCGATTGATGGACTGAATGACGGACTGACTTACTGGTTTCAACATGGAACTTTGCACAGATGTGGAGCAGCATCAGTTCGAGTTGTCAATCTCCGCGTGGCCTCCATGTGGCACACGAATCAGGAGAAGAGAGTAGAGAGACAGAGAGAGGGAGATTCACAGCAGAGAAGGAGAGGGAGAGATGATAACCAGAAGTGTTGATGAGGGAAGAAGAACACTAGTAGTTTGGGAGAAGAACAGAGTTCTATTGGGTGGATATGACAAATCACAAAAAGTGAACGCATCATCGAGAAAGACTTTAGTCATACTTTCAATAGTCTCCAACCGTGATTGGTTCTTATCCTCCCGAGGACCCTAACCAGCCAGTCTACGCCTCGGTGTGTGAGTGACTGGTTCAAACTAACTGTTGCTGTTATGGATTTGATTGAGTGATGAAGGCAGCCATGTTTTGGTTTGACCACCAAGTGGTAGTTCCTTCCAACCTTTTCCTATTTCCGCTGAGTTAACATTACCCGTGAGTCGAGGAAGACGATGGTTAGACATGTGTAACACGTGTCCTAACCATCTCACCCAGTCGATGTAACTGCTTCACAAACTCGTCGGTTGGTCTCCACTCCTCACCTAACACTCGATCGATGCTTCACCTCAATATCACTCGCCCTATTACACCCACCAGCTGACACGGGATGTAGATAGAAGGCAGACACCTATGATCAAAGTCAGACAGCTAGCCTTTTCATGTCATCGTAGGTAGGTAATCAGAGTTATACAGAGTGTGAACTGTCGACTGACTTATGTTGTCGGCTGAGATAGTCACGTAGTCAGTGCATTGTGAAGTCCTAGACACACATTTGTGTATTAGATGTCTGAACAGTTATTTATTCATAAGGGGACATGAGAGCGAGCTGGCGAGAGAGAGAGAGAGAGATGACTTCTCGATGGATATCTTTCCAGGAACAGTTGACTGAAGTCTTGTTCTCACGAAATTCAAAGGGCGAATGAGGATATTTGGCGTCTGTCATCAACCTGGTGTCCATGAATATCCATGTAAGGGAAATGGGAAACCCTGATTCCAAGTCCATTCTATGTCGTTTACATGTAGTCTGGAGATTCTGAGAGGTAAGGACCACTTGTGGAAAAACACTGAAAACGATAGGGTTGCAGCTCCTGACGACGCCCTACTGCCTCATCGATCAGACTTGATGAGAAAGACTTGGTGAGGTGGTGAGCTTACGACAACTACTTTCGTCAATCGTTTGGAGTTCGGCGTGCTATGATCAAAGCTGTTACCGACAATGTTGACGAATTAATGCAAGTCGGACAACAGACAGTTGTAACTAGGAAACTGGGAAGTCTAATCGATGATGTAAGCTGCATTACAGATCCTCGTGACGTGCTTCATGTGTATATCTCCATCCACGAGTATAAATAGTGTGCGTTACATACGCCTACCAGGGAAACCTGTGACACCAGCATGTGCACCTAAGTTGGATGAATGCTGGAACAAAAGACACATTACTCAGCTGGATTCTCATCAGTGGTGACACGTGCATTGTGAGGCTATAAACAACCGACTGGCGAGGTGTTGCTGTTTTGCCATCCCTGCATAGCACCTGCGAATTACAGTCCGGATGTGGTTACTGGTGAATTCTGCTGTCAAGTGAGTAAGCTACGTAAGCGTGTCTGTCCTGCAGATATCATTGTGGTAGCTGGGATATGGTGGCGGCGGGCATCTATTCTCAGAGGAGCGACGTTTAAATGGTCAGTGTAGTCTAGGTGTTCGGAGGTTATATAAGATAATGGAAACGGTGTTGTGCACCTTTGCATAGATGGGAAACCTATTTCTAGCCATCACCAAGATGCGTCACAATGATGGCTGCAGTGCTACCTGGTACTATAACTCTATCACTGAAGTTTGGTGTCACGTAGGTTGTATAACTTTCATTTACGGGTAATATGGAGGTGGAGAGAATTGTCGCTGCATCTAATACACTAGTCTAGATTCTGGTAATGCTTTGAGCGTGATCATGAACGTCGTTGTCAAAAGGGTGATAAAAGTAAACTAGTAGTTTCAACGGAGTATCGAAGCACACTAGACTGAAGACTAGCCAATAACCTCCTACACACCATAAACAAAAATGTACTGACATTATAACAGACTATGGGAACGGTGAGTGTGTACTTCTAACGTTTGGAATAACGTCTCACTCAAGACCCACTATTTTTCTGAGATTTCTTTGCAACCCATTTATGCCCATCGGATATCGAGTATAACAGCCCACTTGAGGCTCCCACTCATATGTCGAGGCAGGACAGTGAAGCCTGGTGTTCAGAACATGAGTGTGAGATGGAGTCAGCTGGTGCATCAGACTATTGTCAAAAGCCGTTCCAGCTCATTCGAGAAAGTAACATGATGAGGCGTAGTGTCAGTTATACGGTCTGTAAACATGATAGTACGCCTATTAATAACCTGTAAAGAGAAGTCTTGTGGAACTCTGGACAGTTCTTATTGAG